CCTAGATCCTTAGCACAGGGCTTGCCTTTGCCTAGAGATGCAGCAGCTTTTCTTTTGCTTGCTGAACAGCGAGGCAAATTCTGGGAACAGCCTAAAGAGAAACATTTAGATTGGAGGGTCTTTGAGCTGGCTGACAGCTGACTGATGACCATCCATAAAACGACAAAGAGGAGCTGTGTGGCGGCCGGCGTCACACCACCTCTCCCTGGGAACTAATTGCTCTGAATTGTTCACAGGAACATTATTTTTCTGGCAATCATTTTCTTTGAATGCCTAAAATGAGCATGAAACAACTCTTTTGACTGGACATAAAAGTTAAATGTCCCAATGTTGATCAAATTAACTTCAGTGCTGTGACAATGGACTATGTTTGTGAGAAAATAATGGGGGGACAGAGGGGTGCTTTATGCCAAGATTTCACAGTTGTAATGTAAAAATGTTTCTGTTGAACTAGCCAGGCCACATTTCAAAGAGGACACAGAAGAGTCCTGTCACTTGTGGAAAAAACCACACTGCACAGACTCAAAAGTATCAGTACATTTCCACAGTGGGCATCTCAGGAAGGCCAGTGTGGGGGTGCTAGCTTAGTGGCTCCAGATGCCCTGAAGGGCTGACCTGAGTGTCAGCAGAGGGACAGAATGCCACAGCACAGACGCGTGCAGGCATCTCCTAGAGATGCACAGGTGTCCCGGCCTCTGCCCGTGCAAAGACCATCCTAAGACCCCAGGCTCTGCCACAGATGCCTGTGATAGCTTCCAGACGCTCTACACCTACCAAGACTTCTCTGAGCCTGATCCTTTTCACTAACCGGGACTTTCATAACAAGATATTCACAGTAAAAACTTTCAAAAATTGTACACAAAAATATAATTATTTATGATAAGAAATCCTGAGGCACAAACTGGATGTATCTGATCAACAATCCCTTTCAGTGGCTGAAGTCAAGCTGAAATGAAGGGCAGATCCTCTCCAGATGTGCTCCTGGTACTGGGTGTCATGTGTCTCTGCTGTGAGGCATCCTGTTTGTGCAGGTCCTGACCACCATAGCTGCTAGAAAGCTTAACTCAAGGAGTTTCTCTCTCAACTTTAAAAAAAATAACCTTTTGGTACTTGGGAATAAACTTACTTTACAGAAAAGCTTCAAAGGGTGCCATGTGACTCTTGGCTTTAGCACAGGGTCCTCCTCAGCTCTCGGGGATAGAGATGCACAGCTGCCCCCACCCCTGGTCTGGTGCTGCCTGTTCCTGCGGATCACATGGATACAGGGACCCACAGCCTGTACAGGAGATTAAGCCAGAAGGCAGGCTCCTCAGCAGAAGCCTTCTCTCTGTCTCCTGCAGCTCAGCAAAGCCCAGCAGACAATGTGCACCACGGTTCCCAGTGCGGCAGTGAATGCAGCACTGTTGGTGGCAGTGTCCATTCAAAGGGCCAGCACAGCATTGTCCTCCCCAATCAGCATAGCAGAATGCAGTCTGCTGGTGGCTGCCAAAAGGTTAGCAGCCCTGATGAAAGGGTAGCCCATTATTCACCACTCCTACAGAGCCCCCCTTTGTGCCCGGCAGCCCAGCCCTACACGGTGGAGGTCCGGATCTGCGGCTGGCTGAGCTCGCCACAGAAGCCATTCATGGGAATGCAAAGACATAGAAAAGTGGCCCAAAAGCCCAAGGCTGCTTTTCTGGAAGCTGTGGAAGCATGGCAATGTGGGGCCATGACACATTCTGTGGCCTCACTACACTGACAACCTGACCATGCTGACCAACACCAAGTGGACAGTAGATCTCTCTTGGCTCCCAGACTTCTGGGAGGTCCCCCAAACCCTCGGTGCCATGAAGCAAAGAACCAGTTGGTCAGGAAGAACATATTCAATTGTACTATGAAGTTCTTGCCTGCTGAGCTGCTGATTTACTATCCTGAGGGGCGTCCAGCAGCCCATGGCCAGCTGAAGAAGATGCTAGAAGGTTGGTCTCAGGGATACCCAACCAGAACTAAGGCACCCTCCTGGAAAAACCCAGACATGACAGTACACATGGTGCTGTTACCTGGGTGATATCTCTGAGGATTTGGATTGATTGGCTTGGGATAGTAACAGCCAGTTTTCCACTCCAGGAGCAAGTGGGCAGCAGCTGGCATAGAGCCTCAGTGGAGCAGTCCAGAGCAGGTATGGGTAAAGCACAGGAAAGTGGAAGGAAAGGTGCACCAGACTTTGGGCTAGGTGGGGACACATGCATTGGCAGGCATTGGTCACTTCACTGGGACAAAGCACCTGAGCCCCACAGCCACATGTTGGTGCTGTATCCCACAGTGGGTGGGGTGAGCTCAGACTGGACTCAGGTCTGCTTCTAGATTCAGTGTCAGTCCCAGCTAAGGAGGGCATGACTGTGTATGGAGCTGAGGGTTGGGCCCTCAGTGCGGGTGACATCTCCTTTTGGCAGGAATTCAGTAGATACCACCAGCACCAAGGCACTCCTTTATGCTGGAGACAGGCTGGGAGTGATCAGAAGCAGAAAGGGAGTAGACCACATGACCCTGAGGAGGCCTACCTTTCCCAGTAGGATGCCATGTTCCCTAGGTAAAAGAGCCACACTCCTGGCTAGTGGCAATGCAAGGACCCACCTCTGCCTTCCCATGCAGAGCACCCGGAATGCAAAGCCATGTGCACAAAGCCCGCACAGGCCCAGCTTACAAGACTGCAACCGGAGGGAGAGGGGCTGGAGAGAGGGCAGATCCTGATGGCTGAGTCAAGCCACACGCACACATACATGGATGCACACTGGTATGGTTTGGGTCTAGATATTCCCCAGAGCCTCATGCAGCCATGGAGGACAGTCTTTTTAGAGGTGGCTGTATCAAGTGTGTGGTGCTGAGATTCAGGGTGCATGATTACTAATCAGTCAACTAATTGGCTTTGCACTGTCCTAATCCCAGCAGTCTAGATAAGATATAAGAGGCAGAAACTTGCTGTTGCTTTTGCTGTTCTCCATCGCCATACACTGTTGCCCTCTGCCATGTGCTGCCCCACCTCGGAGCCGGCTGAGTACAGACTGAAACCTCTACAAACTCTAAGCCAAATAAACCTTTTTCTTTTAACTTTGGGTGCTGAGTACTTCAGCCAGCAACAAGAAAAATAAGACCCACACTGACGCAAGACCCTGTATGTGCCTATGTGTGTGTGTATGCGCACACATGCCCATACATGTGCCCATCTGTACGCACACACAACACATACAGGCATATATCACAGTCATGAGGTGCAATAGAAAGGCTTTCCATTCAGATGCTTGTACAGGGACCTCCCCATGCAGTCCTTTCTGACCCCACTTGACTCCAGGGACCTCTCAGAACACCCCTTCAGCCTCAGCTCACCATTACTACTGAGGAAGAAATGTGCCCAGTCCTCAGGGTCTCCTCTCTTGGGTTCTCCCAGTCCTATTCTTAAGAGTGTCTGATGGTACTGGTTATAATATGCCATATACTACTGTGGGTGTGGGTGTGACTCCAACCACTCCTCTAGGCAGACTATCCTTCGATTGGAAATTTCCTCTCGTAGCTCAAAGACCATTCTGCATACATGCCAACTTTTCTTCCACGCTACGTTCAGGCCTTGATGTACTCTGATCAGGGCCTTAGCCCTGAGGGCCACAAACAGCAGTATGACCAGCTCTGGGGAAGGGTGGTGGCCTGGAAATGGCATGATCCTTTCCCCAGTGCAATCCTCAACCCATGCTTTTGATCATTCTATTCTTCAGGGAGATGGATAAGAAGTGCTCTGTGGCTATAGTGGGTAAAAGCCCAGCAGAGGGCAGGTACAGGAGGAGAAAGGCTGGGACCCCAGAACAATAGGTAAGAGGCTGAGGGGGACTAGAGAGAGGCTGAGTAATGGTGGAAATGGCAAAGCAGCATGAAGTCCCTTGTGCTCCCTTACAAGGATAATGTGGTGCTTCTTGCTTTGGGATGTGGGGGCTGGGTGAGGGCCCCAAAGAGACAGCATGGTGCTTAGACGAAGACACAGACTACTCTGGGACAGAAACGCCCATCTTAGGCCTGTGGTCAGTGGCTGCTATAAGTCAAAGTTTAGTGCTCCCTGTCATTTTGGCCACAGGGGTATTAAGAGGACAGAGCTGGACCTGGAAACCATGTAGAATGAACAGAGAATAAACCTTGACCTGGCTTCCAGGCTGAGCTTCAGTGAAAGGTCCACCTGTAACTCAGGAGAAATGTTGGTCCTAAGATGAGAGCTTTTTAATCAGGGCCCCTGTCTTCCCACATGAAATCCTATCAGCTCTGGCTCTGTCCAGGGTCATCTGGGACATCACAGATGTCAAAGACAGAAGGGGCCTAGTTGTTTAGGTGGGAGAAGGCAGGGCAGTTGGGAGCCCAAATGCAAGATGGAACACCTCTGCTCTGATGGTCACTGAAGCCACCTATCCCTTCCTCAAGGCCCACATCCCATCCCCAGGAAGCAAGGCCTTGTTGGGTGCACCGCAAGATTCAGCTCCAGGAAGGAGGTGGCGCTATGTAGGCCTGGGCAATACAGTCTGTCTAAGCCGACTCTGCCCTGCTGCCGGGCACTGCTCCAAGGAGTCAGACCCCAAGTCCAACACTTGAGGAGTCACTGAACAAGGCCACAGTTGTGAGAAAGACGACACTGTCCATGGACAGAAGAACCTCGGGGAGTCCCTATTTTTGAGCCCACAGCCAGAGGCAATTGTCATGTTCTGAGACCTCCACCTGCTGACACTTATCCTTTATCATTTCTCTTCATACTGCTATTTGTCTTATCTTTCTACAAAATGTAGAAGGAAAGAAAGGAAAGTGAGGTGTGTCCAGCCCACCTGCTGAGGGATTGTTCTGGTAAGTAGACAGAGGCTAGGGATTCTGCAGCCTTAATGGGTCAGCATTCCCAAGGACCACTGGCAAATAAGGAAAAACAAATGAGGGGAGCAACCTCAAAAACCAGCTGCAAGTGTGCTCACAAGGGGCTGGGACATGGCAGCACCTACCTGTCAAGCACGTAGCCTAGAGCCTTGTGCCGGACACCCGAGTACACCGAGGGGCTTGTCTCCCAGGCCACTAAGTTGGATGCATCATGGAAAAGATGGATGTTCACCAAGTCAAAGGCACTGTAATCAAGAGAGAGAGAACCAAGTAACCAAGGGTCAGAGTCCTCTAACTGCCCTGAATAGGGCAGCTCCTTCCCTCTGCCTCAGGACAACATAAACTAGCTCCAGTCTCCTTGGTAGCAGAGCCACCAGCGCCCTGGAACACCAACCACTCACCTGTTCTCAGCCATTCCCGGCAAGAGCATGGCCTCCTCGGAGGCCAGAGGATGTGAGACATTCAGCGAGGTCTTCAATAAATCCTCACAAATGGAGGTGCTCTGGCCAAGTAAAAGGAGAGCTATTTTTCTTTAAAGAAAAGGACTTGCACAAGAATGTAAGATTCTCCACAATCTTTAGGCTAAACTATGAGAAGGGAGATATGTTTCCCTCAACCTGAGCTCCCAGCAGCCCATTTGCCACAGCCTGCATACTGTGCCACTGTCAAGGGGCCCCTAACAGTGGTGTAGCACAAAAACAGGAAGGCAGGCTATGTATTTCAAATTCCAAAAGAAGCTTGTAAGCAATATCCCAAAAAGGCCTTGTTTCCCTATGAGCCTCTCCACACACATGGGCTTGCTGAGAGCCAAATCTGGTCCAGATGAGCTCTGCCACAGTGTGGACAGCCTTCTGTCATCCTTAGCTGGCCAGTGGATGTGTCCATTTCACGATGTGAGGTCCTGGCACTGTCCCTAAAGTGCTCAATGCCACATTACATTCTGTGCAATACAATGGTTTTTCAGCATTAAATACAGAAACTGAGGCCCATAAGTTTGCACTGCCTTCTTCCAACCTGTAGTTGCCACTGCCCATGAGCTCGGTGGCCCCAAATCTAGGTGTTCATGCCCCAGGCACCTCTCCCACAGCCTACCACATTGGTCTCCGCGACTAAAAGCAAAAAGCAACTGCAGCGGTCAGTCACTTCCTAGATTAGATCACAAGGTATGGTGGCTCTGCCTCCCTCTTTTCTTCCCCCACACCTTGGACTCTGTCCTGAGCAGCTATCGGCAGGCCACGTGGGAAGGAGCTGTGTTGTTCCACCACCACCCACAGACAAGCTTAGAAGAGCTCTGCCTAGACGCATAAGGTCTAAGGCAGCAGCCCATGAGATCTGGTCCAGACTCACAGCTGAGCCACAGAAACCAAGGCCTAATCAATGTTTGTTCTCTGAGGCTGAAAACTGAGGGTGGCCTGTCTCAGTAGATTCTTAGGCAATTTAGGCTTTAGAAAATCTCTGGAAGGGGAATGAAAACAAAGCCTCGAGTAGCAATCCACCACCTGAAGGCCACATGGAAGCCACAGTAGGGAGGCATACAGAGGTTCTTGCTGTTTCTTTTTGCCAGAAAATGGGCACTGCTTCTGGGAACATTCACCCGCAGAAAGCAGGCCAATACAATCAGTGGAGATGGGACCTTCTTTGTGCTCAGATTCTAGATAAACACAGACTTCTGAACTATCTTCACCCCATTTAGCTTTGCAACCTGGGACTCACTAGGAGTCTCTTGCCAGAGTACTCATTCAGCAGGCTCTGGCACAAAAAGCTGATGCTTGGTAAAGACCCAGAGGTTTTCTATCATGTCTCCATTTGCTCTGAGCACCCGGACCTCTGACTTAAAAGAAATGGGTGACAACACTCTATGTGATGTGGCACAAAAAAGGTCAAAGTGGGATGGGTAGGAGCCGTGCACCAAGAGCCCCTATTCCAAATCAGTAGCGCTTCAGAGGAGACACTTGCAACATGACAGTTGTGCGAAATATCAGCGCAGGATAAAACACTCCGACAATGATGCAGCGGACATAATCTGCTCCAGGTACATAACATACATACCAGTCAGCAATGCACCACCTTGTCCGGATGAAGCCTTTTCTTGACCACTTGCACTGAAAAACAGAGATCCCACAGTAAGCACCACAAAAAGAAGCCACAGGCCATGTGTCGGCTGCGCTCAAGGTACACACAGGCTGTGTCTCCAAGCAGAAAAACTACCTGAAAATGGTGTTTAAAGTAGTCTGCTAGTTTTGAAACTGTCTCATTGCTATTTCTTTCCCAATAAAATTAATTAAAAATAAATAAAGTAGGGGGCCTGCCCCTTAGCTCAGTTCTTTAAGTGGCTGCTTCAACAAAGCAGTCAGGCTTAGGTTGCTGTGGTTCGATCCCCACAACTCAAGCCAGCCAAACCTGCCCTGAAGGCATTCGGAGCAATAAATAAATAAATAAATAAATAAAGTAGTCTGCTAAAGTGAACTGGAATGATTATTTACCACAAAGGTACAAAGTCATGGACAGCTGTTTTGCTAGACATCCTGATGCCCAGTAAGCTGACTTGACCAAGAGAATGATAGTTAGAGGCCTAAAGAAGTACAGCAATATGAAGCCGTCACCAAAACCCATTCTTAGTGAGCCCATACGTGCCCCGCCCCAGCACCACCACAGAGCATAGCCTTTGCCTGTGGGACTGAGGCATTTTATTCATGTGCAGGGCAGCCTCAAGAAGAGTATGTGCAATGATCTGAATGTGTCCCACACATCCATGTTGGAATTCTACTGCTAGTGTAATGGCGCTGGCCTTGAGAGAGGTAATTATGTCACCAGGGCCCCTCCCCCCTGAATGGCTAAAGCCCTTACAAAATGGCTTGCCAAAGATAGTTTGCTCCCTTTTGCCCCTTCGATCCCTTCTCGCATGCAGGGATACAATATTCATCCTCTAGGATGATACAGCACAAGACACTATTTTCCTGTGCTCCACATGCTTTCTCCCATGCCCAAGGTTATATAGCACCACAAAGAATAAATCCCTGCTATTGCTGAACTTCCAGCCTAGAGTTCTGCTCAGACACCTGGTAACACAGAAGGGGCAGACCACAGAAAGCTGCTCTTGGCTTCTGCCCCATATTTTTTCCCTACCCAAAAAACAGAGTGTGAGAGAACAGTCACTGATTTCCCCCACTCTCTTCATGTTGGTCTTGAAGTAGGGAAAAAATGGCAGAGATAGCACAGCAGAGGAGGCAGGGGAAAGATATGGGAGAGGCTGGCCAAGAAAAACCCAAATAATCCATATGTCCTTTCCCAAATCACTGGCCAACAACTGCTCATACTCATGCAGCAAGGCAGCAGGTAGAAGCCTGGCTTCTGTACTATGCTGAAAGATTCTGGGCCCAAATGCCAAGGACTAGTGTGTGACGTAACCCTACATTGTATTTTATCTTAATTAATTTTAGTTTAAATAGCCATGCAGCATAGGCTGCCTCACAGCCTGACCAGCTTTGGGAATGGGTATCCTGTCCAAAAGAAGAAGTCCCTCTCTCATTTCCAACTCATAAGCTCCACATAAACAAACACTCTAGGATCGAAGGGTTCTCTCCTCTTCCTAGAATGCCAGCCCAATCAGCATGAGATACTATCAGCATTGGTCCCAACTGGAGTCCAGTGCCTGGTACAGTTGAGTTGGGGAGACAGGAGGTAGGAAAGATGAGCGTTGAGGTTCATATAGCATCTCAAGAGAAGAAAGAGGTGGAAGGTGAAGACTGCATTTGCTCCATTGTGCCCGGGCTGTCTGCTGCACAAGTGACCATCTGAGAATTCAGAGTGAAGAGTTGGTGAAATGTACTCCCTACATCGGAGGGAGTCCAGAGAAATAAGCACGAGACAATCTTGTTTTATTTCCTTATTTAATGGAAATAATTCAGTCATTAAAAACCAAAAGTCTCCCCTTGGTCCCACAACTCTCTTAACCATGGATCCTATTTCTATTACCTCCCTTATAAGCACACTTTCCTTGGGTAAGAGCTGTCCAAATATAATCCAAATGCTTTGTATCTAGATACCCCTCCCCCGCCCCAACCTCCAGGAGCTTACAAGGGCTTTCCAGGAGTGGCTGCATCTGGAGTGTGTGATACTGGATTTAAGGGTGTGCGATAGCTAAATGGGTTTATCACAGTTCTGGGTGAGAATACTGGGAGCCCCACTCGGGCTATGGATGGCACTAATCAATAGGCTTATAGCCTAGATGGACTATAAAGTAAGAGAGAGAAGGCAGGCTTGCTGCTGCTGCTGTTGCTGCTGCTCCTGCACCACAACAATGTTGCATCTCTTCTGTGATCGCCCTCTGCCATGCTTTCCTGCCTTGGAACCAGAAACTATGGACTGAACCTGCTACAAACTGAGTTGCATTAAATTTTTCCTCTTCGAGTATCCAGTACCATGTCTCAGCAACAACAAAAAACAAACCAAAAAAACTACCTCAGACAGTGCCAATTTTTCTACTCCCACTCAACACTCAAAAGCAGTTTGCTTCCTAATTCCAACACCCTGCCCCAAGTGCTGCCTTCCAACTCTCCACGCCTCCATACACAGAACCTCAGCCGCCCGCGCAGCCCCTCGTCTTCTTCATTCTCCAACCACATCGCCCCGGACTCTAGGTGTTGGGACTGAGACAGGTGCTGCTTTCCTGTGCTCCCCCTGCTTTCACCCATACCCAAGGATGGAAGGGTGGACCACCTCCGTGCTGGGGGCTCAGCTGCTGGCCAGCTACCAACCTCCGCAGCACTCTGAATCATTCTCGTGGCCTCTGTCATCTACCCTTGCTAGTAAGCAGTATCATAACAACTCTACTTGTCAGTTCTTTAATTTATAAATTTATTCTTACATGTCTGGCTTTGGACCCCAGGTATGCTCAGCATGAAAACGCAATGCTTTAATTTGGGAAAAATTTCCAGTCTTTTCCAACATTGCTCCTTATTGTTTCCTTCTGGACTTCCTTTTGGATGAATATGTGAGCCTCTCAATGGGGCTTTCATACCTTTTAATTTAACTGTCCTTGGTATAAAAATATAAACTGAACAAAAATCTTCATCTTTCCTGGTTATGTGCTAGATGAACTCTTTGATACCTTTTGATTCACTGGTCCTCTCTCAGGCCACATCATCTGGTTTTATAATCTATTCTGTCCTTTTTCATGACTATTTATTTCTATGGAGCTGTTCTGTAGTGCTGGAGACTGAACCCAGAGCCTTGAAAATGCTCAGTCAGCACTCTACCACTGTGCCATATACCCTTCCCCCCCATAAGCTATTTTTCATATCTTGCTCTGATTTTATTTTATTTTCTACCTAGCAGTGTTGTGGCTACACCAAGCAAACGTCACATAGAGTCTGGTTTCCTGGCTCCCTGGCAACACAAGGTACCCAAGCAGGCACTCAAAGGGCCCACAGGTGGATCTGCTTTTTCCCTTTCAAGGCTGGTCTTGTTCCTCTTACTTCCAGGGTCCCAGGCCTAAGTAAGCAGACTCTTAAAAAAAAAAAAAAAAAAAAAAGACTTTATTTCTCAGAGCACTAATGGGTCTATTAAAAAACTGAGCAGAGTTGAGGGTCCCCACATGCACCTCCCAGTGTGGACAAACGCATGACTAGACCCACTTGCCATTCTGCCTGGACAGCACTAGGAGCTGACTGCTCTTTTAGCCAGTACACCCGGCTATGCTCAGGCTTGCAGGATGACATGACCAGCGGAACTACAGCAAGTTCCCAACTGATGAACATTAGAATTGTGAACTTCCACAGGTGTACTATATAAGATTTACAAGTGTATTCTACAAGATTCACTTGTCAGATCATGAATGATTCCAATTTATGAACACTCTCCCACAATAGAACTCGCTCATCAGTTGGGCACTTACTGTAACTGCTGTCCCTAGCCCCTTCCTGTCAGGCTCTCTTACCCTCTCTACTTCCCGGATGCAGGTAAGCAGCTTTCTACCAGCATTCTTTTCCAACATGATGTTCCTTCTTTGCCACAGCTTTCCAATCACAGACTGAAACCTCCAAAACCATAACACTTTCCTTTGTTTTCTCAGATATTTTGCCACAGTGACAAAAAGCTAACACACCACGATATTCCAACATTCTCATAGCCTATGATCTAGCATGTGTCCTCAGTTCTGGGCTAAGATCTAGCCTGGCCTTCCTGTGCCCACATGAGAGTCAGTGTCATGCATGGCATCCCCACGCGCTCTTCTGCAATCCACAAGACAGTCCACACAGCTCTGCCTTCATTTCATCAGGGAGCAAACGAGGGTTCAAAGGCTCTGAACTTTTTAAGACCACCAGCTCCTTGGAAAAAGGAAAAAAACTAGAATCTACTTCCCTAATTCCAAGGCCAAGGTTTTCTCTTTCTGACCACTTATTCCCCTCTTCTGGCTGAACCTAAACACTCTGAGTCAGTATTAGGGTAAGACGGCTCAAAGGAGTGTGTACCACCCCCAAGTCATCAGAGTACAGGTGCCTTTGATAAACTGTTCCTCAGTGTAGCCTCCTCAAATACCTCTTCCTTACAATACATGTACATATAACCACAACAAATCTAAATACATGTATGAACCCACAAACACACACACATACACTCATCTATATACATGCATACACACACAGACATGGGGAGATACATGTGAATACATACACACAGTCAGATGCACACACAAATGCAAGTCGTGTGCTCATGCACAACATGCATGACTAGAACATAGAAAATGGCCCATCACAAGCCCAAGCACTTGGGCCTCATGGGAGGCCTCAGGCATCACCAAACGCATGCTGCTGCTTGGTCCACTACAAATAGAAGTGGAACAAGCACAGTTGGGGCTCCTCAAATGGTTGCCAGTTGTCTTCTATTCTGATCATGTCACAGAACTTTCTGGTAACTGACCATTTTGTGAAACCTTCATTGTGGACTCTTAGACCAAAGATGGTGACAATTCCACACTCCTTAAGTGGCCACACCCCAGGTCTGGTGTGGCTCTGCTCTAGGAGGGGCCATCACTGCAGAGATGAAAACCATACCAGAAGGGGTGGGGAGATGGCTCAGTGGAATATGTGCTTGCCTGGCAAGGGCAGGGGACTGAGTTCAATCCCCAGTTCTGCCAAAAAAAAAAAGAAAAGAAAAGAAAGAAAACCATACCGAGGCAGGGGCCAGGGGTAGCACATCTCTCACCATGTGCAGGCTCTGCTCAGGTCCTCTGTTAATAGGGTTCCTTGAACCAACAGATGGATTGCAAATACAGGCGGTTTCATCTACTAAAAGACAGCATAAATCGCAGTGGAGAAAAGAGGAGCTGCAGGGAGGTTATCACCATGCAGCCCTGCCGTGAAAAGCCCACTCACAGCATTAGTGGAATTAATTCATCTTTCATAGAAGCTTGCAGCAGGGACTGTGATCTATGGTAACAACCAATTTCTCACTACGGGCAAGAGGAAAAAAATGACTCGCCTCGATCGACTACACAAATCTGCTTTTTAAAAATGGCCTCACATTATCTGGAGTGTTGCTCCCAGAGGCGTCATTTGAAATTCATACTGAGCCAAAAGCACCCATAAATCAACAGAGAAAGTTTTGTTAGTTTTAGATGCAGTGGGCTGTAATTATTTGGAATTGCATTATGCCTCCATCACAGTAATTACATTTAGATTATCCTTAAGTGATGGTAATAAAAGAAAGAGAAATCAGTCTTAAACTAATTCCCTCCCCCAAAATGTGCTAGAATCTAGCACAACGCTGGCAGGAAGATGCAGAGAGGCAAGGCCGGGCAGAGCTGCTGTGGCTCTGGCCAAAGCTGGTCCCTAGGCAAGGCTCAAGGATGGGAGACTCAGCATTCCTACTCTGCAGAGCAAAACACACTTCGTGAAGGTCTGCGTGTTAAAAAGCACAATATTGCTGACAGAATATTAAAAGTTTGTGGTTTTTAAAATGAAAGTTTTCTTCTATTAATTACCAGAATAAAAGGCAATGTGTGAAAGCATTTGCTAACTCATGTGTTACAGGTAAATACAGGGCTTTCTGAGATGGATTCCCACACAATGAACCCAGGAACCGTTAATGCACCCAGTAAGTCCACACCCTGAATGCCACAGGGTCTCAACAGTGGCCTCCAGGCTGTTGACAGCCTCTTACTGCTACAGGGACTGTTCAGGAACAGATCAGGGGCACAGAAGAATCACATCCCACAAGGGATCCCTGGAGGAACCACAGAGTGTTGTAGGAAGCCCCATCCGTGTGAGTTGTCCCACTTGGTGCCTAGTGCCCCAGCTGCTCCCCTTCCCTGTCCACTAGCACATAGTGGCACTTTGCTGAGATGACTGCAGATAGTCATGGAGGCCAGAGAACAGGACTGTGTGGCAGACACATGCCCCTCAGACCCCTAAGTGCTAAATGCAAAATGTGCTGAGAACGGCTGCCATCCTCAATTCTGGAACGTAAGGAGTGAGGTGAGGACAAAGGGCACCAGGAGCCTGCACATGGGCGCAGGGCAGGATGGCTGCCTGCCAGGTCCCTGGAAGGAACAACTTCACACAGAAACAACAAGCTATGGATGTGACTACACCTGCAGCAACTTAAAGCACTGCTCATGGTAGCACACTCCTCCGCGTAAAACAGGCACATATGCAAGGCTCTGGGACAGAGCGCCGATGTCATCTTCAGGAGAAGAGCCCACAAAAAGGAGTGGGGGCGGGGAGAAAACAGAGCTTTATTGGCAATAAAATGCACGCACCCACAACTGCTCTTCATCTGAACAGGGTCTATGGCATCTGCTGTTGATTCATCACACTCTTCCCAACATTTGAGACAGTTTAAAGTAAAGAAAGTTGCAAGGACACACAAACTGCTTGTGTGTGTTGCCTCCCACCCCACAATCATCACAGGTCCTACCACTCAGGCCCATGTCTAGCACTGCCCATCTCTAATTCATCCCATCTGTCTTTCAGGGCTATCTCAAAACCACAGAGCAGGGTACCCACTGCATGGTCTTGGCCCAGTCCTGCTTCCCAGGCCCACTTCAAGCCTCCCCCATTTCCACTTCAGTTCCTCAAGAATGTTCTAGTCACTCTCAGATGAGGGTCAGTTCTAGCCCAAAAGAGGGTCCAGACAAGTGAGGGTCACTGTAGATAGACAGAAGTCTAAGACCCGCTGTGAGCAGGCTCAGAAGGCCAGCTTCTTGGCCTACAGCTTCAAAGAAACTGTAGCACTGCATCTTCTGTGGGAAATGTCACCATATTCAGGAATGCTGTCCTGATACAGGGATGTAGCTGCACAAGGACGGTCCCAAAGCTTTCCTGCTATGCTTCTCTAGTCTCAGATCCTCAGTGTAGCGGGGGATAGGGAAGCAGAGCTAGCTAAGGGAGGCCTGAGTCAGCTGAAGACAGGAGGCTGATCCACTGACACCATATCCTTGGCCTGGGGACGATGGATGAGGAAGCTGAGCCACAGCGTGATGGGAACACCCATCCTTCACGAAGATGGCTGCAACCCCTTCACTCAAGGCACAGGTCATAAAGCAAATTAATAAAGTGGCCTTGCTGAAAATCAGCTCTGCAGGCAGGCATAGCTAGCTGTAATGAAGAAGCTACAGAACATGCCTTCCAGGAGCTGCAGAGATGAGACCAACATGGCTCCTACACTAAGATAAGGATGGGACATGCCTACATGATAAGCAAACAGCCATCAGGAGGTGACACTCAGTCCCTCAATTCAGTATTCAAAATGCTTCTGGTCAAAGGGGCCAGCCAGATAGCTCAGCAGACTAAAGCTCCTGCTTAGGCAGAGCGCAGAGACCAGGGTTTGATCTATGGCACTACATGCCATGCTGGCCCTGACCCAGGGCATGCTGAGACAGTGACTGAGACTGGGCGTGGTAGCACATGCCTGTAATTCCAGTGTTTGGGAGGCTGAAAACAGGAGGATCACTATGAGTCCAATCTGTGTGGTGAGACTCTGTAGCCCCCGTACTAAGACATTTTTTTAAAAAGTAATAAAAAACTTTGCACATAGTCTAACAACTATATAAAATAACACACAACACTAAACAAAAACGACACTAACACCCAAAAGAAATAGGGCAGCACTTTATGCTTACCATGTCTAGGCAGTAGGACAGTAAATAAGCCTCTAACTTTTTGATTTTGTTTTGTGTTTTTTCATTTTTGGTGTGTGTTGGGGGGAGGTCTGCTAGGGATTGAACCCAGGGCGTGTTGTGTGCTAGGAAAGCATTTTACCCCTGAGCTAAAATGCTCAGGCCATCCCTAGCCTTTTTAATTTCTAAACTCTCCATGTGAAATGGACACAATCACTGGGAAGTGTTACTGAGCCACCAGCGTGGCCAACTACCTGCTCCACAACGACTACTATTTTTTTACTTGCTGGTACAATATCAGGGCCTCATCTGTGAATGGGAATCTCGCCCCACCCTGTGCCTAATGGGGAAGGTAATGGATATACTACACCATCTAGCCCCCACGTCATACCACACAATGACTCCAGCCTCTGAGTTGGCTGTTCCTGCCAGCAGACTGACCCTTCACATCTAGAGACCTACGCTCACCAGGCAAGCTAGGTGATACTTTCCTTCATTTTAAGGGGAAAGTGCTTTTGCCTGGAAATGACAAATACAGAATTTGCATACTAAATATGAACCATTTAGACTCCCTCCCCCTTTATCTAGGGTAGCCCAAATCAACCCACACTGGTTTAGAACAGTGGAGTGTCAATGCCCAACAGTGACCGACACCCCCCCACACACACACACACAGACACACAGTGGAGGCGGGCAGGTTGGAAGTAAATTTTACTTCAGCTTGCTTTTACTCTGGAAAGCAGATGTGCTGATGAGATCTTGCAAGACAGCCCCGGTTACGCACCTCAGGGAAGTAGTCCTGTGGGAACTTCTCTTTCTCTAGCATCGGTGTGCTCTCTAAAGTATCTGAATAGATCTCTTTGCCAGTGACTTTTTTATACTTCTTTGCTAGAAAAGAACAAAAAGATGACATGAATATCTTCAATGTTACACACTATCCAAGCAGCCACATGTTACTGGGATGTCATGCTCACCCAAAGAGCCCCAGGGTGCCAGGAAGCCCTGAGCAGAGAAGCAACAAGGGTCTACCCCTGACCAGCTGCTCCATGGATGCCTGTAGCTCATAAATTCCTGTTCTACAACCTGGAATCTGACACTCCACTTCATTATCCCCTAAGAGCTCCCAGCCTGCAGATTTACAGGGGCTAATTGGCACCCTCTTTTAAAGCAGTGAATATATTGAAGAGGGCTATGGAATTACTATTCAGTGAGACCTTCACATGAATTTATTTAATAACATCGATTTCCTCCTCGCACATGGCCCACATCACTCATATTCCAGGGAAGAGTTTTTATGTGAGAAGGAGTGAGGGAGGGGCAGGGCGGGCATTATCCAGACAAGCTCTGCAGCTGCCACCCAGACCTCCCTGGGGCACCCAGGAGATGTGGCCCTCACAGGCCTCCCCAGGCTGACAGGTCCGTGGACAGGGGTTGGTCTGAGTCCCCATTCACATCCAGGCATGGGGTTCTTTCCTTCTATGAACATCCCCATGCCCTCACTGGTATCTGATAATGACACCTCCACACAAAATAGCTCAGATAGTTAAACCGCTAGTTTTTCTTAGTTCATTGAAAAAGGATTTGTGCTAATATTGTTTGGACAATATCTCATGCCTATATCTTATTTTTCAAAACCTTTACAGGCTGGGGGCCGACAGCTACTGGTCTCTGCAAAATCTGTGAGGAACACAGGAAGAACACAGCCCGTAAGACCACCCAGAAGCAGGGGCCCAGCTCAGGCACCCCTGACTGGGTCCTTCATTTGTCATCCTCAGCAGGGCAAGTTCTGAGCTGAGAGGGATTGCTTTGAAATAAAAGTTCCAGGTATCCAGCAAATGCTTGGAGACCAGCACTGGAAAAAGCAGCAAGCTGTACTTCCACCGTTTAGTGGGGAAAGTCCTGTACACCATGAGCTGCTGAGACCTGTAGTTTCTGGGGCACTGTCCACTCCACAGACATGGATAGGACAACAAAAGCAGACTGAAGGATGCGGCGTTATGAGCCAGGAAGGAAGAGAAAGGGGATACATATATACACCTCCACACAAAATAGCTCAGATAGTTAAACCGCTAGTTTTTCTTAGTTCATTGAAAAAGGATTTGTGCTAATATTGTTTGGACAATATCTCATGCCTATATCTTATACTCTGAGTAACTATTATAAAGATAACAATACACAAACAATTATTGTTACTATCCTAATACCTGAAGTGAAACTCTTTATTTATTTATTTATGGGCAGAACCAGGGATTGAACTCAGGCTCTCGCGCTTGCCAGGAAGTGCTTGTTCTACCAAGCCATCTCCCTGGCCCCTGTTTTATTTCTTAAAAAGAAAACTAACAAACCCAGTACTGATCAATAATTACCAGCAAAAATCCCATTTACTTCAGGCTTTGCTCTTGCTGTATATTAGATACATTTTGACATATGCATAAAATATCACATTATTGTTACAAATATCATTGTTACAAATCATACAGATTAGTTTCTCTGCTGTAAAAAAAAATTATAATCCACATATCCACCCCCCCCACACACACACAGGCCCTGTGACAGAGGCAGCCACCTGTCATTCCGTTTCCACAAATTCACTACTTCCAGAACAGACCCCTGCGTCATCTAGCCTTTCCAGACCAGTCCTCTCATCCAGCGGAGCTTTTGGGTTGCTGCTAATCCTCTGCTGTAACGACGTGCACTGCTCACCCTCACCCAGGAGGTGGGAGAGGATGTTAGGAGGCAGTGGAGGCTACCCCTCTCTTCTTGTTCAGTAATTTTCCTGTGTTGGCAATTCTGGGGCTTTCTCTTCCTATGCAAACTTTATTATCAGTCTATATATATATATATATAGCCCTTGCAGGCATTTTGATGGGGACTGTGTTTCAACTTCAGGTCAAATCAGGAAGACCTGAGCTCTTGACAATACTTCCTTCCTAATTTCTGGAGTTCATACTCTCATGTTCTGGAGGCTGTAAGCCTACAACCAACACGTCAGTAGATTCAGTGTCTGGTGAGGGCCCATTCCTCACAGACAGTACTTCCCATGTTCAGAGCAAGCTTGACAAACAGAGCCAAAAGCTCCCATGGGTCTGTTTGTTTGTTTATTTTGTACAAGGTCTTGCTACACAGCTTGGACTAGTAGTGATCCTTCTGTCTCAGCTGTGATTATAAGTGTGCGCCACCACCCCCGGTTTGGGTGGCCGGCAGGGAATGTGGTACCAGGGATCAAACCTGGGTCCTTGTGCTTGCCAGTTTAGTCTGCTGAACTGTCTCACCAGCCCAAGATATTACTTTTAAATCGCATTTTACTAAAGGATATTCCTATCTTCCCTATCTTGGGTCACTTAAAAGGACATTCATCCCTTTCACAAGGGCCGGCCCTCATGACCTATTTACCTCCCAAGGATCTTGCTCCCTGATACTATCACCTTGTTAGTTCAGCATATGAATTTTGGAAGGACACAGACATTCCAACCATAGTATCATCCACATAGATGGACCATCTTCCCATTCATCTAAATCTTTGATTTCTTTCATCAGAGTTTTGTAGTTTTCCTCAGAGCTATTACTTTTTAAAAAAATTATTTGGTACAGGGTTTTACTACACAGCTCAGACTTGTAGTGATCCTCCTGTTTTCAGCCACCCCAGTGCTGGTGTCACCATGCCTGGACTTGGTGGCTGGCTCAGCATGTCCAGGGCAGCATATGGTACTGGGGATTGAACTCCAGTCTCTGCACTTGCCTAAGCAGGTGCTTAGTCTGCTGAGCTATCTCGCTAGCCCAAGATATTATTTTTAAATCACATTTTATTAAAGCATATTCCTAAGCACTTCCTTTTGTGTGTGTGCTTATATAAAATGTTTTGTGTTTTTAATTTCATAATTTACCCATTTGTGTGTATTTATTTTTATTTATTTATTTGCAGAACCGGGGATTGAACTCAGGCCCTCGCACTTGCCAGGGAAGCACTTACTCCACTGAGCCATATCCCCAACCCCCCATTTATGTGTATTTATACAGGAAAGCAATTAACTTTTGTGTATTAACTGTGTATCCTGTAATTGCTTATTCTTACCATTGGAGGTTTTTCTAAATAGGTACTAATTTCACCTGAGGAAAGACAGTTCTAACCCCTACTCCATCCTAAGAATATGCCCTTTATTTCCTTTAGTCTTCATTCATTAGCTAAGATTACCATTAAAATGTGGCAGTGGCTGGGAGGAGATGCTTGCTGTTCCTGACCTTTCCCTGAAATTTTTCATTTGCTAATTTCTTACTAATTTTAATGCTACAGATTTTCTTATAAATTTAAAAAATCGAGTTCAGGAATTTCCTCTTCTACTTATAGCATGTTGAGAGTTTTTACCATGAATGGATGTTAAACTCTGTTAAACCTACTGATAGGATTTTCTTCTTTAGCGGGTGCTATGGTTTAGACTGACACCCCCCACCTGAGGCATTTGGAGGGTGACTGGCTCATGGGGGCTCTACACTGACCAGTGGACTCATCTATTAATGAGGTCAGTAGGTGAAAGTGCAATTAGTAGGTGAGCCCTGGCCGGATGTGGGCCAGTGGGGCATGTCCTGAAGTGTATTCCTGTTGCTAGCTCCTCCCTTCTGCTTCCTGCCTGCCATGATCTGAGCAGCACTGTAGCCACCATTCCCATCTGCCATGCTACTTCTGCTTTGCAACCAACGTACCATGGAATAAGCCCAATGAAACTGTGAGCCAAAATGAACCCCTCTTTTAAATTGTGGGTGTTAGATATTTTGTCCCAGTGACCAGAAAGTAAAATAAAGGATTGTTTCTGTGATTATAACTGACCTTGTAAC